ACTTAATGCGCGGCCGGCAGGGGTACTCGGTTGAACTATACCATAGCGAGTTTCCAGCTGTGATCTAGCCCAATATACTAATGTAATGGTCTCGACTAGGGGTCGCCAGCTTCTTTTATGATCGACCCTCCGTCCCGGATCGTCGGATTGTGGATACAGTTCGTTAAATAACGGTTCCGATGTTGCATCACGCAAGGTACGCATCCTTAGGAGACTAGATACTACGCTGCCCCAACCTGGACTGGCGTCCCCGCTTGGTACGAAGGGGCCTCTCAAAAATGATAGCCCCTCTCGGCTTTTTCCTCCGCCCTCGTTCTTTTGTACGGACTTTGTGGGCTCAACAACCCCTCAGAGCCCATAGTGAGTGCTCCCGAAATCTGAAAGTGAGTATCAAGGCCGATATTTTATACGCCCGCCGAGTTCGGATTGGGCCGTCACCAAGGTATAGCCCCGAATGAATACCATGGTAGCTTTAAGATGTTTAATGCTGATCAACCAAGCTTTACACATTTAAGAATATTTAGGAACTCGATTCGATACCCTGGATGTGAAGGAACGTAGAGAGGTAGTATAGAAAGCCATAAATCATTGGGTACATAATACCCCTTTTTATGTCGGTAAGAAAGAAGTACATGATAGACAGGCAGGAGTAGAAAACAATTTCCTAGCAGTGAAGAGCAAGAACTCGGGGGGCCACGCTCGGTGTTACAAGAGGAAGGTTTGAGGTAGCCAGGAGAGCATGCATTCTACACGTAACTGTCGACATGTGACGGACCGATGTTACAGGAGTCGAACGAAGAATAGGGAATTCGGTGGCTTTCTCGCTTAACCGCCCGACGTGCTAGTAGACTTCAAGGCAGGTACTTAAGGCCAAATGTAGTTAACTATTCCATTAAGCGCACCCATGTCAATAGAAACTAATGCAGCAAAATTCCAATCCCTGTCTCAGATATACTACGTATCGGGTCGCCTGTGTGGAGTATGATGAACATTATAGTAGAATCCTTCGCGAAACATTGTCAACAGAGGTGGTGGTCTCATGAAAGGTACTTGATCAATGAAGAAGAGGCGTGATTGGTCCTCTCGAGCCTTCTTTGTTCTCGGGAAGTTCAGATGTGTACAAGATCGAGATCATATGTACACTATAGAGTCTGTGGCAAACTCATGCGAGCTGCAGCCGACACTTCGTCTTCGCCAAGACTGAGACATCATGCAGTTTTTTGCGCGTCAAATCCTGGGCTATTCTAGATTTGGAACTGGGGAATCCATGTAATGGTATGTTTCCAAGATAGAGCAGGGAAGAATTTTGTGCTTTGATCTTCCTTCCCGTTATTAGTACGCTGCTGAACGGTTAGAAATGCTGGTATATCATGTCCATCGGATATCAGCCGTTTGAGCCGTTTGACTGTCGAAACCTCACTAGCCTGGATAGTGTTGCAAAGAACCTCTATCCTAACCGGCTACCCAGATCTACGGGGTGGTATACTACCAGGGGACCGAGCATATATGAATAATTATCCGCAACCTCGACGACGATCTCTACTCCTTAAGTCAACTCATCCGGAGACCAGATCTTTGGCTGGTATATAAACAAGCTTTCACGGATGCTGTAACGATCAGTAACCATGTCAGAGAACGCTCAGACTCCTCCGGCTCCAGCCAACCCTAACCCCACGAGTTGGCTTCAAAATCTGGGCATCGCCATAGAAGTAGTATGCCCTGCGCTCGCGTTGTTAGTTGTCGCCTTGAGAACCTATGTTAGGCTCGAGTCAAAGACCTTCGGATGGGGTAAGATAATAACCCAAATCTTACAACTCAGACTCGAGTGCAATGCTGACGAAACGACCTCATAGACGATGGCCTCATCCTTGCTGCAATGGCGTTGAGCCTTGCTATGGCAGGAGGTTCTATTAAAGGTATCTATTCAAATATACATGATACACGCCATTACCGAGACCTAACAGTCTGTAGTTATGAAAGAGATGTTCATAGGGATTCACTACTACGACGTCCCCCCAACTTTCGATCCAACCGAGGGACTAATATGGATTTACGTCGTCGGTGCCGTTTACCAACCCATCTTGACATTGGTAAAACAGTCGGTCCTCGTCTTCCTACTCCGTTTCTCGGGCATCAAGGCCGGCGTCCGATATATTGTCTGGGGCACGATTATCTTCAACACAGTCCTGATGGTCGCCATTTTTATCACCGTCATCTTTCAATGCATCCCCATTGAGATGAATTGGAATTTAATGGTTCCAGGACACTGCATTGAGCAGTTTAAGTTCGGCGTGGCGGCTGCTTCGTTGACCATTATGACCGACATCGTCTCCGTGGCACTTCCGTTCTATATTTTCCTTGGGTTGAAAATAAATAAGAATAGGAAGATTGCTCTAATTGGTGTCTTCATGTTAGGTGTACTGTGAGTAACTACTAACCCCTATTTCCATAAGCAAGGCGATTGGGTTCTGTTTTCAGGGCAGACTGCTAACGCAAATCTCACAACAGTGTCACCATCGTCAGCATAATCAGACTCTGGACACTCTCGGATAACTTCAATTCCAAGAGCCCGGACAAGAATTTCAGCGTGGGATTCACGGTGTCCAGCATAGAGTGCAACCTGGCAATCTTGACAGCGTCATTCCCGGCTCTATGGCCCCTGATCAGGCGGATGATGCCGAAGAATCTCAAGTCGACCTACTACGGCCACCAAAAATACGGCGGCTCACACGCGCAACAGGGCTACATCAGGACCACCGATGGGCCGGACAGCGGTATTGGGTTGAAGGACATGAACGGCCGACGAATTCGGACCGAAGTTCGGTCCCAAAGAGATTCAGACGAGGAGATCCTTACCGGTACAGGCATCATGCGTACCACGCAGTTTACCGTTTCCCACGAGGATGATCGCGACCGCGGAGGGCGAGGGAAGAACCTTGATGATAGCACTACACGTTCTAAAGTGTCGAGCGTCGGCTCATTGTGAACCGAAGGGGAAAACGTGTGTAATAGTAGACGGCGTCCGGGGGCTATGTATTTACCTCGTCCATCGTCACACTTCGTGACTGGACTACGCATATTTACTTGAATAGAATAGATTAATTTTGTTCCCTAGACTTCAGGAGTCCGACTTCAATATGATGATTCTACCAAGAAAAGGGGCCAGGCTTTGAGCACCGTATCAACGCAACAGCTTCGCGGGCGCTCTCCTTTTGCAGTGAACGCTAGAATTTCCAACGCTTTAGCTCCATACGTTAGCCTGTGTCCAGCGTCTAAGCCCTGAAATGTAGAGAGCGGCAGCGGCTGATCCTCAACCTTACGATAGGGCCGTTAGTGCCTTCAATAGCTTGAGACGAAGGTTTTGGTGGCCGCACGGTTCGCCTTTCAAAAGACCCTCTTCACTTTTCGCACTCTGGGTTCCGTTCTAGAGAACTTTCTGACGCATTCAAGGTGCCATTCTCTTGAATCCATCTATAGCGCAGTGGCATTATTATACTTGGAGTATTCGTTTCCTGGCGCCATTACTCCCGATCCGCCGATGTCACCTACCATATCAGTCCGTACCGGGGTCAGACTAATAGAAGTCGATCCGCGCGTAGAACCGAAACAGTACCGTAAATCGAGCCTTAAAGGGCCGGGATCGCCCGCATATAGCCAGAGTAAATATGACACGCAACTCCGCTTGTGGATAATAGGTATCCGGGTAGAGAAGAATTATATATTCATCCAGACTTTCGCTACCAACTTTTACTATGTAGACTCATCTGAACTCAAGCCACGATGTTACCTTGCCATGCATAAAATGGGTTACCCCGGAGCCTGGGGCCCGCATATGTAACTGTCCACGAGATGTTACGTAGCGTCTCCCTCGAGTTCGACCTTTCCAATTTGGTACAGAAGCGCTCAGACACGGACCAAGCCTAGAACGATAGGAAAATGGCCAGAGAGGCGTCGAAACCGAGTGTGGCACCATTTTAGTGATTTCGGATACTGAGTAGATTCGCCACGCGAAAACATCTTGTATCCACAGTTCGACGTAAGTGGCTCGGGAAGTCTTGAGGTAACGGACCTAAAGATTCCCCTTCTCGTAGATTCGTCCGACATCTAGTTCTAGGTTAAGACACTCACTAGGCGAGCCGAATTTGTGGCCTCGGCTAGTTTTAACAAGCACGCTAGAAGATAGAGCCTTTTCGTCAACTTCACCTTACTAGGTAGTGTTCAGGTACTACTAAGTAAGTTGAGTTGAATTATTCCTCGTTGCATTGCCCCTGAGCATCGCATTGAACATGGTATGCTCTGGTGTAACCTCGAACCTAACACAGGATAAGTACTACATATATTATCTCGGTATTATATAGTTGAGCAATCTGCCATACGGAAAGGTCGACAGAATATTGTTCTACCAAGTTAGTAACAGCTAGGACAACTTAGGAGTAGGTTCCCTCTATTATCGGTTTCTATCCCCACCTGTTCGGCATAAGTCCGAATGAAATTTACTAGCGTATTCCTCCATCTGGCGATCAGCGACTTCTTGACCATAAACAGAACAGACAGAATGGACAGATCGGCGTGCTGTGTGGGTTCTGGCATTTTGACAGCTTCTAGCCTTATCTTCGCGATACCTTGGTACAAGTTGCACCATTTCAGGGACCCTTATGTCTAAAGTTTCTCAGCAACGAATGCCTCATAAAACGGCAGCGTACCAACTATCATAGAAGGATAAAAACCTGTTCTCGGAATACGCGATTTAGATAACTACCTACATAGCACTATAGAATGACGGACGGACTGACGGACTATTTAAATCCTACGGAATAACTTGCCATATGCTGTATCATTTTTGGGGTGGTGCACAGACCACCACATCAGCGAGTAGGTGCCTAATACGATGCTGAATGCAAAGAAGGATTAATTAGTTTAAGAAAGAAAAAAAAAAAGGGGGAAAGGGCAAAAGAGAGGGTTAAAGAAAAAAAAAACACAATGGGAAAAATGACAAAAAGCGACACAGGCCCGATTCGAACGGGCGCCTCCGAAGAGATGTGATGGACACTATCACTATCGTAGATTACGAGTCTAGATAGAAGGTTCGAGTCACACGCGTTAGACCACTCCGCCACTGTGCCTTAGATCACCTGGAAACTTGCGCTTGATAGGCTGAATTGATTACGGATCTTCTCTGTACATTCCATTAAGTACTACTTCCTTGCGTTCCCAAAATGGCCCCGGTGTTCACATTCACCTTTCCAAGGTTTGTCCTTATGTCCTGCTATACTGATTGGAAAAATACATATCTTCCTAGGCTACAGTTGTACACATTAAACAAAAATGAAGCATTGCTGAGGAGCAATGTGATACTATTCAAGCTTATTACAACATCCGAGAATGCTTTTTGCAACTCACTTCATCAGCTTCGGCATGCATCGAATGCTGGCTGTGATCTAATTCAAATTGGTTGCATGACTCCCAGTCGCACCATCAACACGGCACTTTCACATGTTAATGTTAGGTGCGCAGTAGAAAAGTGAGAAAACGAATGCCAGCATTCTGGTTACACTCTCTCAGCAACCGAGCCTCACGGCAATTTTGGGAAAAAGAGAGTCAGCAAGTGATGACTTACATGGGGCCTTGCGCGTTACTCATCGCGGTTACATCTCTACAAAATGCGCGAAAGGAATTCGCGCCTGGTTATATTCAAATGATACTGCCGTTGCTGCGTCACACTGCATCAGACGACCCCAGAAGCATCATCAAGAAATTAGTAGTACTTAATTCGATTCCAAGGAGCTTGCGGCTGGATACCGGAGCTATCGTGAATTGGTATTTTGCGTAGTTACACATGGTATAGACCTATAAATAGATGTAAATGAACGCCAAACCTGCCACCACGGCAGAAGGATAGGTGCAATACCCGTTACCGGACACAGTATACACAGCCCAGCGCAACCCAACGCCACAAAGCGCCTCCCTCGGGTCGAATATCAATTTATGCACATATCATTAGCTTGCGTACCTGTGTACCTAAGCTAGGCGCGACCTCGGCCCCTACCCCTACCCCTTCCTCTTCCCCTTCCTCGACCGCGTGTTGCTACGAAACGCTTCTTAGGAGGACCGTCACTGATGTCATTGTAACCATCCGAGTCCGAGTCGTCCGAACTGTTCCCGTCCGAGGACGATAGCCTGACAATAGTCGGGCCGCCCGATTTCCTGACAGGCCGTTGCGGTTCCGGAACCTGGCGTTCTGACGACGAGGAGCTGGACGAAGATGAATCCACAGGTTCAGCATCAGCAGGCTCGAAATCGTCATCGATGAGCTCTTTACGGCCTCGTTTGGAGCCAGGCCTAGTTGGCTCTTCGAAGTTATTCGCCTCTGGCGCTACCTTATCTTCTGTCTCTTGGGCCGCAGTCGCCGCAGGAGTTCCCTTGGCTGAAGTTGTCGCAGGGCTTCCCGTAGCCCCGTCTCGTGTTCGGCGAGAGGATATCTTGATCTTCCTACCCCTCAGAGCTGCTCGTTCTCGCATAGACATGAAACGTATGTCAGGGGTCGGCTCGTCTTTATCAGGGTTAGGCGCAGTGGGTGATTGTTGCGCGCGAGTTCGTCCCGGCGGTCGACCCCTTTTTCTCACTGAACCTCCGCGAGACGTGGTAGGAGTCGATCGTGAGTGTTCCTCGTCACCGTTCTCATTACCTAATTCCCGCGCCAGCTGAGCTTCAAGATCATCTACAGTGACCTCGTTCTCATCTTGAGTAGCATTAGCGTCGTCAGCATCCACCATAGTGCTGTCCTGTCCATTTTCAGGTTGGTTAAGTGTGGATTTCCTCGGCCGTCCGCGCCCACGCTTTATACCTGTAGAGGGGACTGCGGACGAAGGAGTGCTCGTTCCAATAGAGCTTCGGGGCGGTCGTCCTCGTCTTTTGGCCCCAGGTTGCGGGGTACTTTTAGCAACGGCTGTGGCCTCTCCTTCGAGTCCAGGAAGTTCGGTCAATGCCCGAATAGCGTCCGCCGCCAAGTCCACAGGGTTGGGTTCCTCTGCTGCGCCGCTTTCGCTTTCCGAGCCAAAAATTCTCAAAGGTTTGATCAAGACAGAATCGTCCGGATCCTCGGCGGGCTCTTCGGCCTCCACGTACGACGTCATTGGCTTGGCATGTCGTAACGTCGGTCGCAGAGGATCAACAGGAAGAGAGGGTCTCGTCTTAGGAGGAGGTGCTGAGGCGGAGATTTCGTTCGGTTGCGCTTCTGCACTGCCCTGGACTCGTTGTTCGCCGAGGTCGCTAGGTGCAGTCGCTCTAGTTGGCGTAGAGCTGCTATTACCAAGAGCTCCAAGTAAGGCTGGATCCAAGTTGACAAGTTGGTCAATATTGCCGGTCTTGGGCTTTTTACGCTGCTGACTTTTGGGCGCCCTAAAGTCAGGATCGTCCTGCGTCTCAAGCCTTGCTCTTCTCTTCGCAAGCCGAAGCGTCTTCTTAACGAAATCGGATATTTCCGGCTCGTCGTTTAGAGCGTCGGCAGATGGCATTTGGAAGGGATCGAATAGGATCTTATCTGCACTCTCATCCTGGTCGTAGAATCCCATTCCCATCATTCTCTCGCGACCTAGGACTGGTTGTTCGGGATACTGGGACAGGTCAGGATAAGCAGAATCTCCTTCACCATTATGCATGCCAGATATGTCGGCGTTTCCAACATGATTCTCCGGTTCATTCTCGACCTCCGGTCTATCAGCAGTAGACATATGACCATTTCTGTAACCATTAGCGGGAGCGTTTGTATGGCCTAAGATGTGGCTTTGATCTCCATAGCCGTTCATAATTGAATCCTGAAGAGCTGAGTCCATCTCATGGGGAGCGTCGTCCGCTGCATTGAATGACGCCATCGGGTCCTTTGCTTTCTCGGCATCCGCCTGCTGCTTCAATCGTTGCATCCGCCTAGTATCTTTGCTCCGATTTTCCTCTCCAGCGGCTTTCAGCCAGTTGAGATTGTGTACCCGGAAGTCGACAATCGACTCAACACTGCGATCGTCTGCAATGGGACGTGTATCATGGCCAAGTAGTGTATTCTTGGGAACATACGGGTTTGTGGTGCCGCTCTGTCTACAAGCTCCACAATTGCAGATATTCAGACATTTGGGACATTGCCAGTGTTCCGTCTCCATTGCTGTCTGAGGCATCATATCGAACGCTCGCCATAGTACACCATAACAATATGCGTTTGGGCATGTCGTGCAAAAGCTGAGCTTGTACGTGTACTCCTTGTGACTACAGACATGGCAGCGGTAGACCTCGCCTGTCTTTGCCTTGCGTTTCGGCTTGGGCTTTTTCTTGATGCGACCCTCATCATCTACCTCAGGTTCAGATTCCTCGGCCTGGGGTTCCGGTAGCTTGGTGATGTCCTTCCAAGGCCGTCTTCGAAGTTGCTCCTGGCAGATCTGAGCCACGGACTTCTTGCCCGTCTTCTTCCGCGCAATTTCAATAGGCTGCGGAGATAAATCGATATCGACAAAGCCATCTTGCTGGATGACCATCGCCCTCCAGATCTCATGTTTCTCAATGAGATCAGACCATTTCCATTGCTCACACCACTGGAGACCGGAGATACATACACAGGAACGACCCATGGCGTAACACTCCATGCAAATGTCGTATGTATCTTCGTCACCGTTGATTAGCGTACGCACGCAGCACTTGCACGTTAAGAAGCGATTGAATATGTTGGATCGGCAATATGAGCAAGTAATGTTTGAGTCGAACGGGACATACTCGACGTCCGTCTGCTTGTAACCAAACATCTCGTCGACAAGGATCTCCGTAAAAAGGCCGAATAGATATTTGAAGTCGTTGGCCAACTGTCTCTTACGCGACGAGTTCTGCATCAACTCTTGACCAAGACCTAACAAACTCACTTCGGAGCTTTCCTCGAAGGATTGAAGCTCTTTGTAATATTTTTCTAAGCTGTAATAGATGATGGCTTTATTCTTGTACTGCTCATCTCGGCAGACTAGTCGTGCTTTCGGCAACGCTTCATGAAGGGCGAGGTCGAGCGTTTCAACTGTAGTCCTATTCCATGCAACTTTCATGGTTCTTGTTCCGCGATTCCAGACCTGATGAGGCGCTAAAGGGGGTATCAGAATAAAGTCGCCAACCTTTTGTTCGACTATGTAAACTGGAAAATTGGCCTTTTTCCAGGCATTGATCTGCGCGAAATGTTTCTCGATCTCGATGTCGTGACCCAGCATGGAGAGGAAGTACTCGCGAACAACTTCACGGTCCTTAGTCTCAGTCATAAACCAGATGGAACTACCTGGCTTTTCTCCATTCTCGTCTTGTGAGGCTTCGACCATAATATTCTGGCCCAAAGTGGCGCACATCTCTCGATGCGCAGGGGTATACGTTCCTTCATGACCGATATAACACATGAGGTTTTGTGCACGCATCTCCTCCGGGAGGCTGCTCATTAGATCACCAGCGACAGCAGGAGTCTTCTCGGGCGCACCAAAGATGTCGTCATTCCGGCTGTCTGCGCTTGAGTTCTCGGTAATGTTCTCGTTCATATAGAAGACATTTGGTGGAATAACCTTCTTCAGATGTTCAAACCATTCGGGGGGGCAGTCTATGTCCTTGAGGTAGAGCCGTTGTCGTCGTTCATCGCGGAAATTGGTAGGGGTCCATTGATTCGTCAACTGTCGCATGGATCTCAAGTAATGGCCGGTGGTCATTGGAATATCGGTCTGCGCAGTTATGTCGCGAACATTCTCCTCTGTCAGGTTTTAATCAGCATATGTAATCTCCTTTCGCGGCAGAGCCAGGACTCACGTTTCTTGTCGTAAGTCTTCTCCAACCAAGCAGCGCTGAAGAGATCTTCGGGCAAAACTTTGTTCCACCCTTCTATAACTAGCGGCCGACCTCCTTCGATGACATGTAGCTGTACGAGCTTCTCAAAACCAGAGGGGCCGAGGCGCCTGATCTGGGCGGTGGAGATGCGCACCACCCAGTCGAAGTTCGGGGAGCTATCGACAAGTCCATGGAGATCGAGGTCTGGAGGTATGGGATCGAATTTCGCTTGAGGATGTAATGCGGTCGGCATTTTCGCGATTGCGATGTGCCTCTGTAACTGGCAGTGCGAAGATTG